GTATACCTTAGTGAAGTATGTGCCTTACTCTATTTAGCACAATACACTGAATCAGATATTAAATTTTCCGTGAAGCACAATACCAACATATGAGTATTACAATGAAATAAGTTATCTATTATTATCTTTGGGAAATTAAAGACATACATTTGTTATATTCTAATGAAGTCACAAAACCATGATCTTATTGGGCAAGCAAAATTTGAATCTCTCTCTAGCTTCCTTACAGATCACTTACAAAAATGGATTTGTATTTACAGTTGGAAATAGATTGATCCTACAACGATAAAGGAAGCATACATTTGTGAAGGAAAAAATTTGTCCTAGCTAAGAACAAGTATGAACATTTGAATACATATGCAAGCTATTAACACTTTAAAGTAGACATGCATTAAAAAACAATTCATAAAACCCATGACTTTCAAAGCCTAGTATATGGTGAACCAATAAACTCTTTAACAACATTAAAGAGAAGTAAAGATTTAGAGTTTCTTTACCCTTGAAGCTCATCCTTGTTTACACAGGGATTCACCCAAGTGGAGGGCCTTCAAGTCACCTCCAAGCTCCTTGAATATTCCTTGTGATTTTCCTCCTTTTAGTGCTCCTTTGATTCTTTGAGGATTTGAGGATTTGTTCTCCAAAACACCAAAAGTTTGATGTCTCTAAGTCTCCACACCAAGGATGTATTTTGTGAAGATAATATGGATGACTTAGGGAAGAAGAGATTGCTAGATGTCCCTTCCCTTAGTGGCCGGCCTCTTGGAAGAAAAAAGAGAGAAAATGTTTCACCCAATTTCAACAAGAAAACCCTAAGTAGAAATAAAGCTATAAAGTTGATTTTATACTTCATTTCAAGTGAGTGGCAAACTTATAATTAATCCAAGTTTGCTACCCTCACCCTTATGGCCGGCCTTACCTTTGTTATTGGGCTAATTGCCCATTTTGTTTTAGTTGTCATACAACTTAAACATAATGGGTCTTGTGGACCAAAACGCTTTTGAGCCCCGAAGCCCAAAACCAACTTAAAAGCCCAATACGAACCTTTCGTAAAATTAATTAACTAATTAATTAATCTTGACCATTCTTCAATTAAACCATTTAATTGCTTATCCATTTCATTTAATTTCCTCACATACATCCTTGCTCGGTGTACGATCCATTAGGTTCCAATTAGCGAGGTAGTGGACGATTGTTACTCTTAACGATCGATTGTGAAATTGAAACCACATTTCAATTCTCCCTTAATGATTAGTGTTTGCTAATCATTTAGGGCTTCCACAAACCATGAGTGACACCTAGCAGTATGTCATGGTTACCCAAGCTAAGTACAATTGGTTGGAGAACCTATCCAGTTGCAACTACAATGCAATACGGTCCTTCTCTAATACAATACTCTTAATCACATTGTTTGAGTGATAGTTTGTTTCATGTCTACTATCCAATGTGATACATCTCTATATGATTCCCTTGAATATGATTTGGAACAAACTTCCTAAGTCATATTCATATGCTTTGGCCAAAGACTTTAGAATCATATCTTAGAGTATTCTCCTTCCACCATGGAAGGTTAGAGATCCCTTGTTGTGCATTCATATGCCTACATGACTAGATAGCTTGACCCCAACAATGCCGTGGACACTCCGATGGAATGCCGTTTGACATGATCAAAGATCAAGGACCTAACCATTAGACATCTATGATGCCTCAGGTCAAAGGACTACTTCGCATACAACTTTAGAGTTCTTACATGACATGTATGTTCGAACTCTCTTTTGATCGTTGTTCAGTGTACTCGATTACTCTTTCGAGCACCTATGTGTTTGTCTTAGTGTCCAACACCAAATGACTTGAGACTAGTCATACTCGCGCTTGAGTCAACATAACACATACTAACCTTAACGGATTGTCAATGCCCAATTGGCAATCCTATGGTTAGGAACGTTTTAGGAATGAACATAAGAGAATGGTCTCGATAATCTAACTCACTTAGATCACTTGTCTCTTAGATCAAATACATTCCTTGGATTCACTTATTGCTTAAACACATGATACAATAAATAGTGATTAACAATAAGCTTTGCCCTCCATTAAACATATAAAAGTTTAATACATTAAGTATTCCAAAAAGCTATTACATCAAATGAGTGGCTTTGTGGGCATACTTCCAACAATTTGTTGCTACATCTTTGTATTAGTTAAAAAGTACATATCTCCACAGTCTTTGCTTCAGAAGTTCAACAATTGCATTGACACACATCTGCCTGTGACAACTTAGTTAATCTAGGTTTATTATAATTAGGAGGCGGCATCGATCAGAGGAAGCATCTAAGAGGATGCATTGGTCACATGAGCAAAATATTTTTTGTTTCCTTCATATCATCCATTCATCTCATGATAAGTTTTAATGAGACAGTTAATCGAAGACCTGTGGGCATCCAAGTGAGAGTGTTATAAAAGCAATGTGAATGCCACTAAAAAAGTAGTAAGAATGAAGACTTTGAAAGAGTTTATATTCACTTGATGACTTTAATTCCCATTAATTTATTAAAATAACCCATTAGGAGTGGGCATAAAAATTGAGAAAGCATGAACCGAACTGAATCAGATGAAAAAACCTGTAAAGAACCGGTTCGACCAAAATCGTAAAAACTTGGACTGGAACAAACCGAATCGGTTTAAAACGGCTCCGGTTTCTAATTCTCAACAACCGTAGGAACCGCACTGGACCGTTTATATTATTTTCTTTTTTTTAAATCTAATTCCTTAGCCCTTGTTTTAATTAAATACTAAACCCTAACTAAAAATCTATATAAAAAATTCTCAAGCTCAAAAGCCAAACCCTTGGTAATTACCTCACCTCATCTATTCAACTATAGCCGTCATTTCACATTCCAATTTCCATCCCTCTATGTCTCCTCTCTTCTTTTCCTCATTCATCTTTATGCATTAGGTGCACTTTAATTTCATGTTAGGATGTACACTTGGTCTTGATATGAGACTTTTTATCTTTTGATTTATATTTATATGTAAACTTTCAATATTCCGATTACAAATCTTATAGATCTAGCAGTGAGAACTCAAATTTGCTTGATTTGTGGTTGATATATGTGTTTGGTATTGGAAGTAGAAGATTATATATATATATATATATACACATTTGGTTAGAACCGTAAACTAGCATAAATCGAACTAGAATTGGCGCAAATCAAACCGTACGGTTTTAGTAAGAAATTTAAGCGGAACCGCACCCAATCGAAGCGTTGATATTTTTCTGTTCTGGTTTCGATTTGAGGGTGGAACCGGACCGAGCAGGAGCGTGCCCACCTCTATAACCCATTTGAAGAATAAACAAAAGGAGAGAGGTGAGCAACATACAGAGGAAAGGAAAGAAAAGAGGAATGGAAGAAAAAAAAAGAAATAAGAGAGATGCATAAGAAAATTCCAATGAGGCACTACAGAGAAGAGAGAAAATAGTGAGAGTTATTTTGTACCCCTATTATTTTTTATAATAAAAGAAAGGAAAAATTAGTATCCGGTCCCTAGTTCTTACTGTTCATTGACTAAGACCTTATTAGTTCTCAAATTTTGATTCAAGTCCCTAGCATTAATGTGATAATGAATTTACATGTTTATTATATAATTTTTTAATATAAAAATTAGTAATTAATTTAGGGTTTAATACTCACACCTCTATTAAACTTCTAATTAATTTTCAATTCAAACATTTTCAAAATAATAAAAAATTAAATTAAATTAAGTTTGTACCTATTAGTTATATATATAAAGATTCTCAATTTTTTAATCTTAAATGTACCCATTCATATAATTTTTCAATTTTTTTAATCATCAATGTACCCATTCTCATATATATCAATTTGTTATATGTAAAATGTACCCTTTTTTAATATAAAATCCATTCAAATTTTTTAATCCATGTTTAAACTTATATGGGTACATTCTTTTTCATTGATTTGAGAATGTATCTATGTTTTGGTACAATAACTTTTTTTGTTAATTTTGGTTAATGTACCCATACATATATGTATACACACACACACACAATATAGTAGAGAGTATAATTTATATTTTATTATTTTTAATCCCATAAATTATGGGTTTTATTTAAAATCTCATTAATATAAACAATTACAAATTTCAATTTTTAATTTTTAATTTAAAAAATATAGTAACTTACATTATTACATTAATGTCAGAGACCTCAATCAAAAACTAAAAACTAACAAGGTTTCAATCAAAGAATATTGATAGCTAGGGACCGCATCCAAAGTATCCCTAAAAGAAAATAGTACTCCTGCACCGAGAACATATACACACTTGTCGAACCTCGTAAATATTGTCTTATTGCACATAAATCTGCATGATCACAACATAAAAGTAACATACAAATTGAAACAATAAAACCAATTTGAACGTCAGCCATATGGTTTTGTGTCTCCCTCAAATTAAAATTTACCAACAGTACTGGTTCATAGAAAATTAAAAGGATAGTTTTCATTTTACATAGTGGTTATATATGTTGTTTCCACTGTCACGTCATTGGAGAAGCAAACAAGGTGCATGGTTGTAACTAAGTTACCACGTGAAAACCGAAGAACGAGATAATTAATTTCAGCTTTCTCTCGATCTCCCACAAGAAGTACTATAAATTCCAAATTTTCATCGTTAATATTCAGAAATCAGCGCACCGATGTACAGAAAACTACAACCAAATTTGATGGGGGCCACCGACCATGGAGCCTTTCCTCCTCTAGATCTGCAACCAGTGCACAGTTCCTTTTGAAAAACCTTTTGGAGGAGCATGCACGTGGTAATGCACGTGACGAGATGCTTTTTCTCTGAGCTTTGTGCATGCATTGCGTGCATGCATCATCACTTAGTTTCGCGTCAGTCTTTTATCACGCCACCCTGACACAGTGACACGTTGAGAGTAGTACGTGTCTTCGAGCAGAGATCTCTATCTATAAGAACCCACTCACCCTCCTTTGCTCTGTGCTACAAAGAAATAAAGAAAGAAACAATCGGATTAATTTCAGCTTATTTTTCAGCCATTGTTGTTGAACACATAAACCTTACTCGCTAGTGATGGAGAGGAAATCATGCTTTGGGTTTCTGTTTTTGCTCTTCATTGTCTTGGCTTCACGTAACTCTCTCTCTCCCTCTCTCTGTCATATATGTTATTTTATTATTTTAGTTGTTCTTATCAAATAATTGTAAATGCAGAAGAGATGGTGGTGCCAACTGAGGCAAGGGTTTGTCAATCACAGAGTCATGGGTTCCATGGAACATGCCTCCGCCACCACAACTGTGCTCTTGTCTGCAGGAACGAGGGTTTCTCCGGTGGTAGGTGCCGTGGCCTTCGTCGCCGCTGTTTTTGCACTCGCCTCTGTTGATGATCATCTTATCCAGTGATAATGTTATGTTTGTTCTGTGCATGCAGCTGGGAACATTATCAATAAACTAAGTTCTCTTCCATACGGTCCATTAAGGGAACTTGATCTTAACATGAATTCTTGTTAGTTGTGGACTTTGTTATTTTTCTTGTCAATTGAGTGAGTATCCCTGATCATCCTCAGCCTGATTTTCTTCCTCAGCAATGGTTAAATTTGGAACAAAATTACATTTTATTACCTCAAATTTTGGTCACGTAACAAATTCATATATCATCTTTTTAAAATTGTAATATCATACATGAACTTACGTAAATGTCACACATCTGCTAGTCACTTGATCAAATTGGCCACTTAAATGCAAGACCCGTCTTTTTGTTGACAGTCAATTGCGCCCCTTAGATAAAAACTATAGTGTAAAAGGTAATTATGAGGATATTAAATTTTTTTTGTTGACGTGGCAATTAATTGCTACCCTTAGATAAAAGCTAAAGTGTAAAAGGTAATTATGAGAGATTAAATTTGTAAGTTAAAATTTTAAGGAGGAGGGGGAGGGCGTCAGGTAGTCGACAGCCGGCACTTCTCGATTACGTCGAATTCTTATGAAAATGAATCCAGAACAAAATCGCGCTAAAGCTAGGGCGTCACCCGTAAGTGGCGCGCTATGTGACCCGAGCACAGTGATAAGTGAGCAAGGGTCGCTGTATCTCCATCGGCACTTAGATGCAGTGTTAAATGAGCAAGGGGGCCATAGAAACTTCTTTTCGAACGACTCCACTCAAAGTTGTTTGGGAGCATATGCTCCTATCAACTTTACACAGGACACACAAAAGAAGTACTTTGATCCTATTGGACGGGGGAAGGTGAAGAAGCTAGGACAGAAGGGTAGAGCTCAAGATAGTAGAATGCGTTTAGGAACGTGGAATATTGGAACCTTAACGGGAAAATCTATGGAAGTAGTGGAAGTTATGGTGAGGAGAAGGATAAATATTATGTGCCTATAAGAAACTAAGTGGGTTGGTCTTAAGGCAAAGGATGTAGAAAACTCAGTGTTTAAACTTTGGTATTTGGGCACAAATAGAACGAGAAACGGTGTTGGCATCATCGTGGACAAGACCTTGACACAAGATGTTGTAGATGTCAAGAGGGTAGGAGATAGAATCATGGGAATCAAGATTGTAATAGGACAAGAACTCATCAATGTGATTAGTGTTACGCACCTCAAGTAGGGTTGGATACGAGTTCGAAGGAGAAATTTTGGGAAGACCTTGGAGACTTGGTGCAAGGAATTGCCCAGACGAAGAAGTTATTTATAGGAGGAGATTTAAATGGACATGTGGGCAGAGAGACAAGCAACTATGGAGGTTTTCATGGTGGCCATGGTTTTGGGGAGAGAAACGATGATGGGGAAGCTATCTTGGATTTTGCAATGGCATATGATCTCTTCTTAGCCAACACCTTCTTTAAGAAGAGAGAAGAACATGTGATCACCTACAAGAGTGGGTCGTCAAAAACACAAATAGATTTTCTTCTAATGAGGAAAGGGGATCGTATAACTTGTAATGATTGCAAAGTTATACCGGGAGAGAGCTTGGCTAATCAACATCACTTGTTGGTGATGGATGTACATATCAAAAGAGTGAGAAAAAAGAACAAGACTTGGAAGTGCCCACGAACTAGATGGTGAAATCTAAAAGGAGAAAAAAAAGCCATTTTCAAAGAGAAAGTAATCACCCAGTGTGTGCGGGATAGAGAGGGGGAAGCTAGCCAAATGTGAGATTCCATGGCTAGTTGTATCCGAAAAGTAGCAAAAGAGGTATTAGGAGAGTCCAAGGGCTTTGCTCCACACCAAAAGGAATCTTGGTGGTGGAATGAGGAGGTACAAACAAAGGTGAAGGCTAAGAAGGAATGTTGTAAAGCCTTATACAAGGACAGGACCAATGAAAATGGTGAAAGGTATAGAAGAGCGAAGCAAGAGGCGAAGAAAGCTGTGAGAGAAGCTAAGTTAGCGGCTTATGACGATATGTATAAACAACTAGATACCAAAGAAGGAGAGTTGGATATCTATAAACTAGCTAGAGTAAGGGAAAAGAAGACAAGGGACCTAAACCAAGCGATGTGCATCAAGGATGAGGATGGAAAGGTTCTTGCTACAGAGAACGCGGTCAAAGACAGATGGGGAGGTTATTTTCAAAATCTTTTCAATGAAGGACATGAAAGGAGTACTTCTTTAGGGGAGTTGAGTAACTCAGAAGAGTGTAGAAACTACTCCTTTTATCGTCGAATCAGGAAGGAAGAAGTGGTTGTAGCTTTGAAGAAGATGAAGCATAGAAAAGCAGTGGGCCCAGACGATATACCGATCGAAGTGTGGAAAGTCTTGGGAGAGACAGGTATAGCATGGCTCACTGACCTTTTCAGTAGGATTTTGAAAACGAAGAAGATGTCAAATGAGTGGCGAAAGAGCACTTTAGTGCCTATCTACAAGAATAAGGGTGACGTACAAAATTGCATGAACTATAGGGGTATTAAGCTAATGAGTCATACAATGAAGCTCTGGGAGAGAGTCATTGAGCATAGATTGAGGCAAGAGACACGGGTTTCGGACAACAAATTCGGGTTCATGCCAGGGCGCTCAACCATAGAGGCAATCTATCTCTTACGAAGATTGATGGAAAGATATAGAGATGGGAAAAAAGATTTACACATGGTCTTTATAGATTTGGAAAAAGCGTATGATAGGGTCCCAAGAGACATTCTTTGGTGGATTTTAGAAAAGAAAGGAGTACGAGTAACATATATCCAAGCTATAAAGGATATGTATGAAGGAGTAAAGACTACCGTAAGAACTTATGAAGGACAAACCGAAAGCTTCCCCATAACTGTAGGATTACATCAAGGCTCATCCTTAAGTCCTTACCTTTTTGCATTGGTAATGGATGAGTTAACATGACATATTCAAGATGATATTCCTTGGTGTATGCTTTTCGCAGATGATATAGTGTTGATAGATGAAACTCAGGAAGGGGTAAATGCGAAGCTTAACCTTTGGAGAGAAGTGTTGGAATCTAAAGGTCTTCGCCTAAGCCGATCAAAGACAGAATATATGGAGTGCAAGTTCAGTGCAAATGGAGGCCAAAATGAGTTAGGGGTGAGGATTGGAGATCAGGAAATACCAAAAAGCCGGCGATGCTGTATGGCACAGAATGTTGGGCGGTGAAGCATCAACACGTACACAAAATGGGTGTAGCGGAGATGAGGATGCTTCGTTAGATGCGTGTGAAGGAAATATTGTGAAAAACATGTTCATTTGAGCAACATCTATAGCATGCAATTAACAATTAAAAGGCGGCATCATGCTTGCATGCACTAAAAAACAAAACATTAACCATGAAATTCAAAGCCTAGTATATTGGTGAACCTTACTCAACTTAAAACAACATTTGTTAGTTGAGAAATTATACATTTGTAGATTCCTCTTTGCATAAGCAAAGGCTAATCACCCAAAGAGAGGGCCTCCATTCCTTGCATCTTAGATCTGTGGATTTGGATGGATGAAAACGGTTCTCCAAGTTCCCAAAATTGAGAACCTCTAAGTCTCTTCACCAAGGTTAGATTGGAGAAGAAATGAGTGACCTTGGAGGAGAAAGATTACTAGCTAATCCTTCCAAGGGGGCCGGCCTCTTAGAGAGAAAAGAGAGAGATATGTTCTCTCCAATTCTCTAAAAGAAACCCTAAATGAATTTTGGCTATAAAGTCATATTTATACCTTTATTCATTGGAGTGGTAAACTTGTAATTAAGTCCAAAACCCACCCCTTTAACAAAATGGCCGGCCATAGGGTTTCATTGGGCTTTTAAGGCCTTTGTGAATTATTTGTCATTAAGTTGTCATACAACTTACGTCAATGGGCTTGACGTTCGAAGCCCATTGGGCCTTGAGGCCCAAAACTATCCCGAGGTCTTTAACGAACTTATTCGTTTGATTAATTAACATATTAATTAATCATTGCCATAAATAATTAAACCATTTAATTATTCTTACTCATCTCCATTGTTTCTTCAATCTCCACCTTACACGGTGTACGATCCATTAGGTTCCTTTTAGCGAGACAGTGGGCGATTAAAACCATTTCAAATCGATTGTGAATTGAAACTTACTTTCCCTTTAGTGATTATACACGTTTAAGGCTTCCACAAATCATGAGTGACACCTAGCAGCATATCATGGTTACCTAAGCTAATCAGAAGAGGTGGAGAACCTATTCAGTTTAGGATTACAAATGCAATACGGTCTTTCTCTAATACAATACTCTTGACCACATTGTTTGGTTTGATAGTTTATTCATGTCTGCTATCCAATGTGATTCGTGTGCTTATATGATTACCTTGAAGGTGATTTGGAAGGACTTCCTAAGTCTCATTCATACTCTGGCCAGAGATTCTTAATCATATCATAGAGTATTCTCCCTCAAACGGTTTGAAGGTTAGAGATCCCTTATTGCGCAGTCACTTGCCTCCATGGCTAAGTGGCTTAACCCCGACGATGCCGTGGACACCCGCGGATGGGGTGACTTTGACATAATCAAAGATCAAGTACCTAACCACAAGACAACTATGATGCCTCAGGTCAAAGGACTACTTTGCATTATCCCAACCATGAGTTCTCATGTGACATGAATATGAGAACTCTTCGTTGATCGTGTTCAGTGAACTCATTCTCTATTGAGCACCTACGTACGTGTCTTGACGTCACACACACCAATGACTCGAGACTAGTCACTCTCCCTGAGAGAAGACACAGCACGTACTGATCTTAACGGACTGTCAATGCCCAATTGGTAATCCTATGATCAGGAACGTTTAGGATGTGTCTACGAAAGAATGTTCTCATGAATCTAACTTCTTTAGATCGCATTCTCCCAATCACATATTCCTTGGACTTATCGTTTAAGCGTATAACATTTATATGAGACGGCTTAAACAATAATCTTTGCCCTTGATATTAAACTAGATTAGTTTAACATGTGAAATGTCCGTAAAGTATCATCATATGATTGGTTTCAGGGCACATTTCCAACAGCATGGACACACGAGAAAGGATAAGATTAGGAATGAGGATATCCGAGGTAAAGTAGGAGTAGCCGAAATTGTAGGAAAGCTGAGAGAAAATCTGTTACGGTAGTTTG